TTGCAATAATGCACTGTAAGGCACATCAGTCAGGTAAAACTGTCCCCAAAACAGGTAATCGATTGGCAGATGAGGCTGCTAGAGAGGCTGCAGAAAAAGGCATCCTAGTTTTAGTCCCGGAAACGGGTAAAGGGGTATAACCTTACCTAAAGAACCCCCAAAATATGATGAAAAAGATGGAAAATTGATTACTAAACTGCAGGCTAAAAAGGATGAAAGAGGATGGGCTATAATGCCGACCAGCCAAATAGTGGTACCACCTACAATAATGAGAGAAACTGCCAGGGCAGAACATAAGGTACACCAGGGAACAGAGAACCTTGTCAGGCACTTGCAGAAATGCATGTTAAGCAGAGCCATGATGTAACCAAATTAATGGTAAAACTGTTAGAATGATGAGACTGAATCAGTTACAGATATGTTAATGAATTATAGTTTGGAAAGTTTGTTGTGTATCTAGGTGATGGGAGAGTTAAACACTAACAAGTTACTAAAGTAACGAGAATGTTGTGTACCGGTTTGTGAATACTGTATATTGCTTTGTGGTATGTTTTAGAAACCTTGGTGATGGTCTCTCATATAATTTATATCTTATTTGGACACTATGGAGAAGAAAAACAAGTTACGTCAACATCAGCAAGGCGCATGCTCATAAGAAGGGGTCAACCAAAGGACACCTCAGCCTGACCACCAGAGACCACTAGAGACCCCCTGTGGCGGTGTGCTCCCCCCTCGTCTCTGACTCCCCCTCCTTTGACCTCTTTCCAGTGATAACCACCTGTGGCTGTGGTGATAGATACATCTGGTCTGTGTCTGGTCCTGAAGGATACACCCACTGGATGTGGGGGGGAGACAGATAACAACACAATAGCCAAGGGCTGGTGTGGAATGTGCCCCCCTAAGCACAGCGGTCAGGATGCAAATATGACTATGAGCCAATCATCTTACCCCCATCAATAGTGAGCAGCCCAAGAGCCCTTGGAGCTCTCCTGCACGGCAGC